TGCCACGGAACGCTATTACCTTCCCACCGAAGCGGTACTGATTTATCTACTTGCAATTTCTTGCTTTCGAACTACTAGGTTGGCAGGAGCTGGGGCCAGAGACGAGAGCTCACTCCGTCATGCGGCACACTCGGGTCTCAAACTGCTGAACTACTGACCTTCCACAGCCTGCCGTTCAGCGTCTTAACCACTTGAGCCACTGCAGCTCCTCTGGGTTCTTTAACCCCCTTCTCAATTCAGTGGTTCAACTTTTTGAAGTGGGACCCACTCCTTAGCTTACGGTATGATTCAGGACTTCCTTGCAGACTAACTCCCCCCCACCTCCCCCACCTCCAACATAAAATGCAAGAATCTCTCATCGGATAATACTGAATAAGTTTTTATCATTTATTTTTCATTTTTGGTATTTCTAGATATATAGGATTATTGAGCGGCAGACTGTATTTCATAGCCATCTCTCACGTTATGCAGAAGTAAACCAAAATTTGCCATCGAGCCTTCTCTTTGTCCTTCCTGGCCTTGTGACCCACCTGTGAGAGAATTGCGCTCTGCTTTTCAGTCGTGACTCATAGGTCAAGAACTGCTGCTATAATCCTGTTGAGCTACAGCAGAACAGCTAGATTCAAGTCCCGTAGCAACTTAGAGAGGAACGAGATTTTCAGCGTATAAGCTTTTGAGAGTCAAAGATCCCTTCGAAGATTCTCGCTGGTCTCTAAGGTGGCTCAGTGGTTAAGACGCTGAGCTGCAGACCAGAAGGTCGGTAGCTCGAGACCCGAGTGCTGCGTGAGGGAGTGAGCTCCTGTCTCTGGCCCCAGCTCCTGCCAGCCGTTCGAAAGCAAGAAATTGCAAGTAGATAAATAGGTACCGCTTTGGTGGGAAGGTAACAGCGTTCTGTGTGCCTCGGGGTCTAGTCATGCCAGCCACATGACCATGGAGACGTCTTTGGACAGCGCTGGCTCTTTGGCTTGGAAACGGAGATGAACACTGTCCCCTCGAGTCGGATTCAACGGGCTTTCAAGCAAGGGAAACCTTTACCTTTACCTTTTAAGGCACTACTGGACTCAAATCTAGCTGCCATAATCCTTTGACAGTTGGCTGTACAGCACACTGCTGGTCCTTGGATGAAATAGGAGATGCTATGAAGGGTAAAAGGTAAAGGTTCCCTTGCTCGAAAGCCAGTTGAATCCGACTCTGCGGTTGCGGTGCTCATCTCCATTTCAAAGCCGAAGAGCCAGCGCTGTCCGAAGACATTTCCGTGGTCATGTGGCCGGCGTGACTAAACACCAAGGCGCACAGAACGCTGTTACCTTCCCACTGAAGTGGTACCTATTTATTTACTTGCAGTTTCTTGCTTTTGAACTGCTAGTTTGGCAGGAGCTGGAACTAGAGACGGGAGCTCACTCCGTTATGCGGTGCACTCGGGTCTCGAACTGCTGAACTAGCGACCTTCCACAGCCTGCAGTTCAGTGTCTTAACCACTTGAGCCACCGCAGCTCCTGCTATGAAGGGTACAGATGGGTAAAGCCCTTGGGTTCTGAGGCCCGTCTTCCCTCCTGAAGCAGTCTGAAAGAAGTCTGCTTTGGGCCTAATGGCCCAGGCAGCCAGAGAGTGGTTGATTGTCATCGTGCTCCCTTACACTCTGCTTTCACAACTAGGCAGTAAGCTAAGTTAGGGAAATGGCTTAAAGTGATGGGTTGAGAGGGGGGAATAAATAAATAAGATCTTCACTTTGTTGCTGGGTGTGGCTCGTGCGACATTCTTGCAGGAAATGTGAGGAAGCCCTTTTTTGGTAAGACTCAGGATGCCTGACCATGCAGATCAGAGTCAGACATTTCCTCAGGATGCCTGACCATGCAGATCAGAGTGACATTTTGAGACAGATTTTGTGTTTGACTTTCCCCTGCTTCTGTCTTTTTATTTTGGTAGCTGGGCAGTGATCTAGAGAGGACAGTGGGTGAATTTTGTCTGTCTGTCTGTTTGCTTGCACAAGGTTCGCACGTGACACAGATGGGAGAGATGAGGTAAGGGTTTTGTTGCTGGCAAGACACACAACAAGGTCATCAGTTATTGCAGGGTCAGAGGGGAGCCACGCTTGTGGTTTGGAAGCAAGAGCAGGGCTTTAGCCGGGGTTTGGTAGCCATTTGAAGACGACAGGGCTTGCAGAACAGTCGGGCTCTTTCCCATTTAAAATGTCAGTTCTATTAAAATCTCTGTGTGGGCTCCATGCATATTGGGGGTTTTTTCGCCGAAGAATGTTTTACTACATCACTTCAGTGTTAAGCTTCGAAATGTTCCTCATTCTTTTCAAGGTCCTCTTCGCCACCTCCCTCAGTGCTGCGTAGATTCTGGAACCTCAAGAGGCCACCAGCTTTTAGCTTTGTACTCTAACATGTGTTTCAAAATATACTTGAATGGTCCTGCCGGGAAATTCCCAAGGGCCCTTGAGCTTTTCATTACCCATGTGCCTCCGGCTTTTGTGGTGGTGGTGAATTTTCTGTTGCCGTTCAAAGGAAAGAGCATCTTCTTTACATCTCTCCGCTGTTCAAAAGCTCTTACTAATGCAAAGGCAAAATGACCTACTTCGTACCATTTGTCCCTCTGCTTACTGTGATCATGTTTTATTTCGTAGCTGTATTCATTTTTCTCTCTCTTATGAATAGGCCTACCTTTCTGTAACGGCTTCTAGGTAAGGTAAAGGTAAAGGTTCCCTTGCTCGAAAGCCAGTCGAATCCGACTCTAGGGTTGCGGTGCTCATCTCTGTTTCAAAGCTGAAGAGCCAGCGCTGTCCGAAGACTTTTCCGTGGTCATGTGGCCAGCAAGACTAAACACCAAGGCGCACGGAACGCTGTTACCTTCCCACTGAAGTGGTACCTGTTTATCTACTTGCAATGTCTTGCTTTCGAACTGCTAGGTTGGCAGGAGCTGGAACTAGAGACGGGAGCTCACTCCGTCATGTGGCACACTCCGGTCTCGAACTGCTGAACTACCGACCTTCCACAGCCTGCAGTTCAGCGTCTTAACCACTTGAGCCACCTCAGCTCATGTTTTATTTCGTAGCTGTATTCATTTCTCTCTCTCTCTTATGAATAGGCCTACCTTTCTGTAACGGCTTCTAGGAGCCCCTGCTAAATAGCTGCAAGGCAAGGCTGCAGTCTGAAAACCCTTATGTTGTAATGCAACCTGAGGTTAGATGCAGAATAGGGTTCTCAAAGCTGGAGCGGAGGTGGCCCCTGCCGTATGAAGCTGCCTTTCGCAGAACCAGAGTATCGACCCACCTCGTTCAGCCCTGTCCGTTCCGGCTGGCGACGGCTCTCCAGCGTCTCAGGCAGAGACACAGTTTCCTAGCCTCTGCTGCTGGTAGAACTGAACCTGTGGCTTTCAGCATGCTGAGCCAGTGCTCGGTCACTGAGCCATGACCCTTCCCCACGGTTGCCACCACAGGTCTAGTTATGAAGTGTCTTGCGCTCTGGAGGGGTCAAGAGAAAGCATGGCTAGCAGTCAATCAGATTTATTAACTCTGAGCCAGGAGAACATATACTTAAGCTGTCAATTAGTCTGCGATGAGCATCGAAGGCAGTTTCTGTAGACCTTTTGAACTCCAGTGTGTGGACATTCTTGGATTTCTTTTATTTGGTCAGGCCCTTTTCCAATGGACAGGAGACTCATGAGCTAAGCATACATTAGATGGCCGACTTGTTCAAAAAGTGTGAATGCGGCTATGATTTCCACTTAAAGCTTCTGCCTCTTAATGAATTCAAAGCCCCCAGGCTGACTGAGGTTTTGGAATAAATGGGAGCCAGAGCGGGATTTTTGTGCCATCACACCGCTTGAAAGCTCTTGTCAGACACGCGAGGGGACTGGGTGAATGAAAGGGATACGGAACTGTTCTCGGCGTCCATCAGGGTGGTGTTTCAATTCTCCCCAGCATCTCTCTTCTCATGATGAAATGGGGCCTGAAATAGTAGTGATCTAAAGTGCCATCTGAAGGACATATTCCTGGCAGTAAGCGTCACTGACTAGACCTGACTAGTATTCTGAGAAGACCTTCTTTACGATCGCTCTCTCATCCCGCTTCGAAAATTGCTGAAGTGAGCATGGTTGCTCACTGGTTTCTATCAAGCATAATTAAAATTTGAACATGCCAACTTTTTTCCTGCCCTGCTCCTGTGTCTCGAAGAGCTGCTGATCAAGCAGAGGATTCGACTGTTGTTGTGTTCTCCATCATCTCATGGCCATGCTTGGAATAGCGTAGGTACAGTTTGCATAGCGTTATACAGTCCTTGTGTCTGCTACGACTAGAAGCTTGTGAGGAAGATCAGTTATTTTTCATTTACCATTTGAGGCTGAAGTTGAGAGAACAGACATCCCCAAGGGTATGGCAAGGGAATGCATGATTGATACTGGATTTTTAAAAAAAATTCAATTTGTTTTATTATTTTTAACATACACAATAACAATATATAACAGGTTGACTTCAATCAAGAAAATATAGTGCAAGAGGTATTTACATAACGACTATGAAAAGAACATATTGCATGGCTGAATAGTACTTTAAATCAGCGGTTTAGCACAGGAATCTCACCAATGTCAAAAATATAGTAGGTTTGTAAGGTGTTCATTTCTTGGGATGATTTCACCTTCTGAAAGGTATTGGAGTACGGGGAACCAAACTGCCTGAAATTTTTTAGCATTTTCTTGTGTTTGTTGATAAGTCGTTTTCTGGATTTAAAGCCGTGTAAGAGTTCATGTCAGCCGCCTTTGGAATACAACAGCAGCATTTTAGTGAGGCTCTTTCAATCCTGCTTATTTTTAATTGTCCCTTTCCTGTACATTAATAGTTGATATTTCATGTGTTTTGTTTTGGGAGTACCAGTATGGCAAACTTAACATGTGCTTTGGTTGTGCGTTCTACAGACTTTTAGATACTGTAAGCTCGTTCTTCTGTACCTGACTTTCCCATAAGTTCTTGGATAATGAATATGCATTTCTGTTTGTTCTAGGCATACTCAACCCAAAGAATCCCAAGGAACCAGCAAAATCGTTCAGCTTTGACTATTCCTATTGGTCGCATACCTCGGTAAGCACTCTGTTTTGCATTTTGTGTCACTGTCAAGTTCCTTTCTGAAGGTGGAATACAAGAGGATCCAACTGGGAACTGAGCCCCCCGCCAGCAAGCAGCTGTTTTTCCCTACCACAACCGTGTTGTGCTTTTAGCCCTCTAAGTTCCTCTAGGTTTCATCTCAATGGGTTGAAGTGCTTTTTCCATCCTGGGATCAGGGAGATTATATTCCAATCGATGGAGAGCAAGTGTGTTCAGAGATGACAGAGAGCTGGGCCCAAGCACCCACCGAGTGGAATTTTGACAGCAAACATTTTCCAACAGTGAATATCATTTGTTGAGAGAGGAGACTCTTCCTTCAGGAGCACTTATGGTTGTGGAGATGGGAGTTTTGATTCCTGATTTATTAGGGAGGCAGGGAAGTGCCTTCCTGCTCCCCTGCTCCACCCAAAGTCATAAAGTTCTGTCTCTTCCAGGTCCCACCCCTTGTGAAAGCTGAACCTTCTGCTTCCTGCTCCACCCAAAGTCATAAAGTTCTGTCTCTTCCAGGCCCCGTCCCTTGTGAAAGCTGAACCTCTGGTCTCGCTGACTTCCCGTAATTGTTGGGCATTACCATTGCTGCTGTTCAAGGGTAGGGAGGGTGAAAGGAG